TCCACTAAAAGGATCAGAGGTTACTCTATAAACTTGCAATTGGTACATCTGATACATCAGCCATATATTTTTAAAGCTGTCCACACATATGCTGGATGGGCCAGTGACCAGTCTGGGGGGGACAACGAGTCAAGACATGGGGAGGAAGGGAAGAGGAGGCAGAGCATGAGGGGACAGAGTAGTTAGGGTTTGGCTAGAGATCTATGTCATTTCAGGTGCATGCTTGTAGGGCAGTGACTGGGGGCAGGGCAGTGACTTGGGGGCACAGCTTGTAGGGCAGTGACTGGGGGCAGGGCAGTGACTTGGGGGCACAGCTTGTAGGGCAGTGACTGGGGGCAGGGCAGTGACTTGGGGGCACAGCTTGTAGGGCAGTGACTGGGGGCAGGGCAGTGACTTGGGGGCACAGCTTGTAGGGCAGTGACTGGGGGCAGGGCAGTGACTTGGGGGCACAGCTTGTAGGGCAGTGACTGGGGGCAGGGCAGTGACTTGGGGGCACAGCTTGTAGGGCAGTGACTGGGGGCAGGGCAGTGACTTGGGGGCACAGCTTGTAGGGCAGTGACTGGGGGCAGGGCAGTGACTTGGGGGCACAGCTTGTAGGGCAGTGACTGGGGGCAGGGCAGTGACTTGGGGGCACAGCTTGTAGGGCAGTGACTGGGGGCAGGGCAGTGACTTGGGGGCACAGCTTGTAGGGCAGTGACTGGGGGCAGGGCAGTGACTTGGGGGCACAGCTTGTAGGGCAGTGACTGGGGGCAGGGCAGTGACTTGGGGGCACAGCTTGTAGGGCAGTGACTGGGGGCAGGGCAGTGACTTGGGGGCACAGCTTGTAGGGCAGTGACTGGGGGCAGGGCAGTGACTTGGGGGCACAGCTTGTAGGGCAGTGACTGGGGGCAGGGCAGTGACTTGGGGGCACAGCTTGTAGGGCAGTGACTGGGGGCAGGGCAGTGACTTGGGGGCACAGCTTGTAGGGCAGTGACTGGGGGCAGGGCAGTGACTTGGGGGCACAGCTTGTAGGGCAGTGACTGGGGGCAGGGCAGTGACTTGGGGGCACAGCTTGTAGGGCAGTGACTGGGGGCAGGGCAGTGACTTGGGGGCACAGCTTGTAGGGCAGTGACTGGGGGCAGGGCAGTGACTTGGGGGCACAGCTTGTAGGGCAGTGACTGGGGGCAGGGCAGTGACTTGGGGGCACAGCTTGTAGGGCAGTGACTGGGGGCAGGGCAGTGACTTGGGGGCACAGCTTGTAGGGCAGTGACTGGGGGCAGGGCAGTGACTTGGGGGCACAGCTTGTAGGGCAGTGACTGGGGGCAGGGCAGTGACTTGGGGGCACAGCTTGTAGGGCAGTGACTGGGGGCAGGGCAGTGACTTGGGGGCACAGCTTGTAGGGCAGTGACTGGGGGCAGGGCAGTGACTTGGGGGCACAGCTTGTAGGGCAGTGACTGGGGGCAGGGCAGTGACTTGGGGGCACAGCTTGTAGGGCAGTGACTGGGGGCAGGGCAGTGACTTGGGGGCACAGCTTGTAGGGCAGTGACTGGGGGCAGGGCAGTGACTTGGGGGCACAGCTTGTAGGGCAGTGACTGGGGGCAGGGCAGTGACTTGGGGGCACAGCTTGTAGGGCAGTGACTGGGGGCAGGGCAGTGACTTGGGGGCACAGCTTGTAGGGCAGTGACTGGGGGCAGGGCAGTGACTTGGGGGCACAGCTTGTAGGGCAGTGACTGGGGGCAGGGCAGTGACTTGGGGGCACAGCTTGTAGGGCAGTGACTGGGGGCAGGGCAGTGACTTGGGGGCACAGCTTGTAGGGCAGTGACTGGGGGCAGGGCAGTGACTTGGGGGCACAGCTTGTAGGGGAGTGACCGGGGACAGGGTAGTGACTTGGGGGCACAGCTTGTAGGGCAGTGACTGGCGGGGGAGCAGTGCCTGGGGGAGCACAGCTTGTAGGGAAGTGACTGGGGGCAGGGTGGTGACTGGGGAAGGACACAGCCTGTGGAACGATAACCCATGAAGTTAACATTTCTCTGGACATAGGTTATTTCAAGTGTTGTGTGTGTTAATCTCCTGTTTCTCCATGCGGCCGGTTTGGGCCACAGGAACACTGTTTTCTGCTGAAGCTCAGTGCTGTAATTAAAGGGAGAATAACTTCTTTTAGATGTGGGATCTGGCAACACACACTAGATGAGGTCAGGCCACGGCATCCCTTCTGCACAGTGGTCTGCTCCACCAGACCCCTGTAGAATTAGGCAGCAAGGCTCAAAGTGGATGATATTTCCAGCCTATGGTGAAACATGTGAGAGACCTTTAAGGTGTATATTGAACCTACGGCTTTTGTGAAATGTTAAATCTAATCCTTTCTGCCATATCTACAGGGGACTATTGGAGAATGTATTAAAGAAAATCCAATGTGATTAATGAAGGGGCCTTGGTTCATGTTCTTTTCTGCAGTAATACACTGTGTGTTGTCTGTTGCCACATGTGAGCTATCACTGAGGTCAGAGTGGCTTTTGGGGTCATTTCTGCAGTCCTATTGTGCCCAGTTCCTATTTTCTTTCTGTAAGGGCCAGTGAGACACCCTGAGTACTCTTTACAATCATACTCTGTTCTGAAGCTTCAGGGGGTAACCGAGTAAGTCTGTTACAGAAAAAAACAACAAATGGTCTGGTAGCACTTTATAGACTTAACAAAATATGTAGATTCTCATGATACCGTCTACATGTTTTGTTAGTCTATAAAGTGCTACCAGACCATTTGTTGTTTTTATACTCTGTTCTGTTATTCCAGCTGTTGATGACACACAGTTGGATTTAAAGGCATCATTTCAGGAAATAACAGTTCCTCTCTGAATAAAGTTTGCATTCCCAATCAAGGTTTAAATGAGGAAAAATAAATGTTTCTCACTAGTGATATTAAATGGTTAACCAGTAAGTATACCAGTAAGCAAGAGACTTACTGATAATGCTTACTGGCTAACCAGCCCTTGCCAGTGATCACTGCCAGCAGCCTACCCTGCCAGGCCAGACTACTCCCAGCAGTGGAGGAGCTGGGCAGTGGGACTCCATGGCCACAGCAAGGCTTCTCAGCTGCAGCTGGACTGGAAGAACATGGCCAGAAAGCCCTGAATTATAATGCTAACTGATTGAGTGCTAGTGTTTAACCAGTTAACTGTTTTAACTTCCCTTTTTCCCATGTTGAGGGTTTTTTTTTTTAATAATTACTTCTCTCAGGTTAAAAGGTGTAATCCAGTGCACGAACCACACCAAAGAAGTAAAGTATTTCTGCCCCACCACACACAATAAATCTAAGAGCGAGTAGACTGCCCAACAAAGACAATTGCAGCTGGTGCTACATCTGGAATATGAGCGAGTAGACTGCCCAACAAAAGCAGAATTGCAGCTGGTGCTACATCTGGAATATTTTAGCTAGGCACTTCAAACTGGAAATAAAGTGCACTTAAAAAAAGTGAAAGTAATTAACTATTTTAAAATGTATCTGGGGATGTGGTAGATTATCCATTATTTGAAATCATTTAATCAGAACTGGATGTCTTTCTAAAAACTGTTCTAGTTCAATCCCAACTACACTTTTTCAGCCCTGCCTTGTCCCCAGAAATACCACAACCATTCCCTGGCATGATGAACCTATCTACTGCCCACCCAACAAAATAGCAGTAATGCATTCCACAGCAAACTTTGCTCCTGTTATCTACTTGAATAACAGTCTTCTGGGTTTTGTCAGGACTGTTGCAGGCAAGCAAGGAATAACTAATAATTTTTGCAAGTTCATTTATATTGTTCCTTTCCCCTGAAAGCAAGTTGCATCACTAGAGTGTAACATGGCAATTGTTGAGAGCACAGTAACATTTAACAATAGTTTAAGAATATGAGAAATTAAAGAAAGCAGAATAGAATAAATCAAGTCCAGTTTGGCCAGGAAACTAGGATTATTAGAATGAGTCTTGTAAAAAAAAAACCCACCATGGGACCTTTAATGATCAAATGAAATCCCGACTTAAATTTTACATCTCAGTGTATGTCTACACTAAGGGTACATCAACACTGCATGGCTATTTTGGGATACTGGAGGTATCCTGAAATAGCTACCCTGTATCTACACAAGCTGCCCATTATTTCAAAATATTTTTCAAAATAACGGGCACACTATTTTACCATCCTAGTAAACCTTGTTGCATTAGAGATGGAGGATGGCTTGAAAAAGCACGTTATTTTGAAATTTGGTGCTATGTAAATGCACCAAATTTCAATTTCAAAATAGTTTCAAAATAGGATACACAACTTATGTAGTGCAAATTGAATATCTTATTTTGAGTTTAGAGTGCTGTGTAGACACATCCTACGATACGGTACCTACAGTCGCACAGCACCAGCTGTCATCATGATGGCACATTTATTCAGTACTGACTCTGAGAGAAGGGCATTACTTACTGAATCACTGAAACTCTACAGTATCTTTTGCAAGAGAGCCATCAGGGACTAGTTCTGATCCAACTCGCTTCTATTTAACTTGTCAAAGTCAAGATTTGACTAATTCATATTACCAGCTGGTTTGGCTGTAAGTCAGACAGTGCTGAGTGGGATCATTTAATCCTTTTAACAAATGTGGTGGTCAGCCTGCACTGATGCTAAGCTGTGAATTGCTTCATCATCTTTTGCAATTATCACAACTTGGTTTTAAAGTACTTGCAAAAAAAAATCTGGTATATTGAGTCTACCTACAGATCTTTTCAGTCTAAGCTAGTTGTATGCTATATAACGTTGCCTGAAAGTGGTGTACTGCCTTTTTCTCCTTCCTGATTCTCTATCAAAAAAGTGCAGAGGAGGTCTATTCAAAGGCATATAGCTTGACACTATTGCTCTGCTTTAATGCCTGTTAGAAAAATATATAATAAGAAATGTACTTACTGTACAATAAGTAGTCCTCCGAGAACATGGTAATGTCTGGGCTAAGCTCCAGCTAGTTTGAGGACTGCTTCTCTTTCTAGTCTGTCCTTTACTTGTTCTGTGTAAATGGCTTGTGTACTTTGTACCAGTGTGTCCGCCCCAGCTCTCTGTTGTTATCTCAAAACCTCACTGAAGACGGTGGAGTCAGGGTCCAGCAGGGAAACCTGACGTTTCACATTTACTACAACTATGTTCATGGCTTGTAAAAGCCAGCAATTCTGCTAGATTTCTAGCTGATGAGGGGACCTAGACAAGCTATCAAAGGCAAGAAGATCCATTGCTAATGTAAATTGGTGCAACTCCATTTCTCTCAATTGACCAGTGTTTAGTTGTCTTACATTAGAGATGATCCCTCTCTGTGAATTTCCCTGGCTTACTTTTTTATTTTCATATATACACAGACCCTGAATCTGATCAAGGAAGGTACTTCTAGAGCCCATCAGTGCTGTGCCTGTCAGCCAGAGAGCAATAGTTCAAGGGCTTAGCCCATTTTATCCATCTGGAATGAAAGCTTGCCATGGGGGCTAATGGTAGCCGTAGCATTTTAAAGATGTAGTGAGACAGGATAATCAAAAATTTTATAAAGAAATCAGATTGTATTTGAAAATGCCACTTTTTATTTTACATGTTGAGTCTTTTGGCACTCTCTTTGCAGGATTGTTCCAAGTGGCAAATAAAACTTTATTTAAAGAGAAAATATTCTATTTAACAGAAACACAAACAGAGAGCAGTACTGGGGGAATTCTGCAATTTTCCTATGGCTGCTAATACAACAATTGCAGAATTCTCCCAGGACGGAGAGAGGAAGAGGGAAATACATTCAAGAGGTTTCATTTCAAATTTCCTGGAAGTGTTACCTTTAAAACTTATCAGCACTTTGTTGTATTGTCTGGGAAAGGCCAGATGTTGTTGAGTCACATGAAATCATGCTACACCTGCAGATTAAAGGTTCATTCACTCTAAAGAGAAAAAGGTATGGGCCTTTTTATAACATGGATGTAAATCAGGAGTAAATCCACTGAAGTTAATATGCCAATACAAAATGGCTACGTCTACACTGGCCATTAATATGCCAATACAAAATGAGAAAAACCACTTATTTCCCCATGCTTCCAATAGAACTGAAGATTATTACAACATATAATCCCATTGTTACTGTTTAATAACTTTTAGCCTTTCACTCAGATTGGCACAGTAAAACTCACCTGGGCAGTTTCACTTTCTGGCTCTGTAAACTCCTGCACTTGCTTGGATGGCTTGAGTTTGGGATTCCAAAACTAGAGGGGAAAATGTTTCTAAAAATAACCAGTTATTGAATGAAGAGATAAGGACATTTCTGCAGTAGCTGGTATGAAATCCATAATTTTTGGTAGGGAACCATACTAACTGCCAGAGATCTCTTTTTATGCATAAAACTACTGTTTTGTTGACAGGAAGGGACGGAGAGGTACTATTTATTTAATGTTAAATCTTTGCCTTTTCTGCATCATCCAGTAAAGCTGATGCATCCCACCTATGTCATGGTCTGACAGAAGCAAATATAATCATACAGAAAAGATGACGAGGTTTTGGATTTGAAAACTGTTGTGTAAGACACTAACAAAAACTACTACAATGACCCAGTTCCTTCTCTCATTTTTTTATTTCTATCCTTTTCTTTGGCCCCCTACACTGTAGCATCTGAACACATCAAACATAAATAATGTTATCCTCAAACACATTTGGGTGAAGTAGGGAAGTCATATTATTGGACACAGAGAAAGAGCCTTTGACAAGGTTGCCGTGGAAGTCTGTAGAACAGCTGGGAACAGATGCCAGGACAGGTCCCCTGACTTCCAGTTTAGAGTCTCAATTACAAGACCATTCTTTCTATGGATGCAGATAACTTAGATGCCAACACAACAATATGCCATCACTAGTAAATAGTAAATTAATAATAAATAAGTAAAATTCTGAGACCCTTACAGTTTTTACTGGGTTTTCCTGAACAAGAACTAAAAAAGAGCCTCAGTATTTGGCACATTAATAATATGCAATTACAAACTGTATTTCATTCATATATCAGCAGAGTTCTTTATAAAGGTGGAGCAGCATCATTATCCCCAAATTACAAATGTGGAACTGAAGCAAAGAAGGGATGTCACTTGCCCAAGGTCACATTGTGAGTCAATGGCAATTGTGCATGGACAAGTCAAATTAGAATGTATGTATTTTAAGAGTCCTGCTTGTGGTGTGAGATCTTCAAAGTGACTTCTATTTCCTTGCATCTGCCTCTTCTTTTAGTGGTTGCTAGTAGAGGTAACTAAGGTGTGCAAGAAAAATCTTGGATATCTGTAGAAGTGGCTGAACATAAAGAGGTGGAGTTGGCTCCATCTGGACAGCTAGCTTTCCATGGTCCACAGACCACAACTGGAGAATCCATGTGCTAGACCACATCTGTGCTACAGAGATTTCCAAATTCAGACGAGTCTAACTGTGGGAGCTTTTCTGAACTGGAACTAAATTTATTTTCTCCGTCCAATTTGTGCCATGAGCTTTGCATTGGCTGCTGCTTTGGCCCGCATCTGCTTAGCTTTGTCCAGCTCTATCAGGATTTTCAAGATATGAATGGGGACATCAAGTGATAGGGAGAACTTGGTCCCAGGGCTGCTCTTTTTGACGATAGTGGCTTTCTTGTGGCTGAGCAAAGGTAGCAAGGAAAGCGTCCTCTTGGCTGACTCTTCCAGTAATGCCCAATGTGTTTCCTTGTGGCTAGACTCAGCCTCGTCACTATGGTGACTTCCATGTACGGTTGAGAGGCTCTGAGAAGCCAGCCCATTTGTGATGTTGCTGTTCTCCATGGTATCTCTGCTCATTAGGTTGTCTCTCTTCTCATGGACAGTTTGGTGATAGTTTGCGTCAACATCATCGATACGCTGAAGTATCTCGCTCCCCATTTCCTTTGAAGCTCTTGCTGGAGCCCAGGACAGAATCAGAAAGCTCAGTAACACTAAGATTCTGGGGCAGGGCATCATCCTGGAAATCTGCAAATGAACATGCAGTGCACATTCAGTGATGAGCAGGAGCCCTTCCATGGAAAAATCAACTGGCAACATACAGTGAGAAAGGGCCTTAACACTTGTGAGAGCTGCAAATCCTTGTCCCATTTTGGCCATATAACATTCTGCACAAGGAGGATTTTCTTTTAACTGATATTAACTTGTGTTCCTGCCAGCTCTGGATATCAAGAGATGCAACCAAGATATTTAGTAACACAACAGTCACATTCTATCTGCAAGCAGCTGGAAGGTGCATACTGTCTGTGTGTGCTCACAGATGTCTATTTGTTAGTGGTGAGAAGAAATATCTGTATATTTTGTATATCATTTTGTCAAGTGCATTGGGGCCTCAGGAAAAAAAGGCACTTGAATAATGTAAAACACCATACGTATAAGTAAGATATGCTTCACCAACTCCTTGGCTCTCTATCATGCATTAAATCCCTTCCCCACTGCATCCCATCCCTGATAAACCTGCTGCACAAGCACTACATGTGGGAATTTTCTCTCTGTTATGGGGAAAATTGGGAGGGTGGGGCTCTTCAAGGAAACTTTCTGGCTACAGTATTTTGTGCTGCCTCCTCAGTGCAAGGCAGCTGGAGTTGGAGTCAAGGGTCTGGCCATATGTTGTTTCTTGTATAGTATGAAGAGAGGGGTGACAAGCACCTTAAACAAATAGAGAGCCAAAAAATCATGTCTCAAAAATGACAAAGTCCAACAAGCTTAGGGCTGGAAATTTGCCTTTAGCATCAGTGAGGAGTATCAGGTGCCCTGCGTGACTGGATATCACATTCTCAGAGTTTGAGGGACAACTTTGTGTAAGGAGATGGGCTGGAGTTTTAAAAATGTTCTATTTCAAGTCTCTCTTCACAATTAATATTTGCCCTTTTCATGCCAAGCTGTATGTCTGAATTTATCTCTGTCAAAAGCTTGCCTCACATTTCAAGGGATTTTTCCGGACACTGATGGGATGCAGGCAAATCCCTTTCAGTTTGCTGCCCTTTAGGAGGCAGGAATTAGCTTGACAGTTTAATATATGTCACTGGGAAGGCACTGATCTGCCTTTTCAAGTCTGCATGGGGTTTGTTCACCACTGTCCAAGCACATCCAGGCAAAATGTTCCTGCTCTGCTACCAGACATGATAAGCACATTCCAGGTAGAACACATGTATTATCCTGCCCAGTGTACCAGGAACACCCAAGTAATACACTTCTGCTGTACTTGCAAAATACCAGGTATGCTCATATCTGGGATTTAGTCAGTTATTGACCTTCAAAGCCAAAAGTGACATAACCTGGAGCTATCCTGGTAAACACAAATCTTAGGGGAGACTAGTACATCACCACTCCAAGCCCAAAGGACAAGCATTTTGCCCATTTAACACTTATTTTACCACTTTTATTCTCACCACAATCTTTTGAAAGATTATTGTCTCATTAACGAAGGAGAGAGTTTCCTTTTGTTTTTGTCCATGTCATTTAGGCAGTTAGTTCTTTTGCCCATTACTAATGCTTTTTCATTTGACAAAACCCAGAAAGCAAAGAACAGCTGCACTCTTCTTTTGCCCCCAAACAGTCCTTTGGAAAGTCCCTTTTCTATGTAGCCTCATCATAAAATTTGCCTGAAGTCTTTTGCAATGATTTATAATGATTTATTTTTAGGAGGGAAAGTCAGAGAAATTCCTCCCTACTTCCAAACTGCCACCTGATTCTAAATGCTCTGTAGCCCTCTTCCCCAGCAAGGGAATATCCTTCCCCTTCTCCCCCAGTTTATATTTTAGTTTGTAATTATTGTAAAAGATGCCATTTAGCCAAGTCTGCCTCCATCCCTTCGTAACTTCCTCCCACCAGCAATTTCATAGAGATCCTCCTGGGTATTTCTAGTCAGAGACGCTTGATTTTTTTTTGGCAAAGTTAGAGAGCATTGAAAGGTTCTTTGGTGAGGCAGACATCACAACTTTACTGTTGGG